ATCGGGCTGTCAATTTTTTTCTACACTTTTAGGTGTATTTTGTGCAAGAAATTGCAATAAAATAGTCTGCCTAAGAAAAATTGAATTTTTTTGAAAATTTTTTTTTGACGAAAATCGCTTTAATGGTCATAAAATTGGTGTTCCTCTACTCGGATCGGGCTGTCAATTTTTTTCTACACTTTTAGGTGTATTTTGTGCAAGAAATTGCAATAAAATAGTCTGCCTAAGAAAAATTGAATTTTTTTGAAAATTTTTTTTTGACGAAAATCGCTTTAATGGTCATAAAATTGGTGTTCCTCTACTCGGATCGGGCTGTCAATTTTTTTCTACACTTTTAGGTGTATTTTGTGCAAGAAATTGCAATAAAATAGTCTGCCTAAGAAAAATTGAATTTTTTTGAAAATTTTTTTTTGACGAAAATCGCTTTAATGGTCATAAAATTGGTGTTCCTCTACTCGGATCGGGCTGTCAATTTTTTTCTACACTTTTAGGTGTATTTTGTGCAAGAAATTGCAATAAAATAGTCTGCCTAAGAAAAATTGAATTTTTTTGAAAATTTTTTTTTGACGAAAATCGCTTTAATGGTCATAAAATTGGTGTTCCTCTACTCGGATCGGGCTGTCAATTTTTTTCTACACTTTTAGGTGTATTTTGTGCAAGAAATTGCAATAAAATAGTCTGCCTAAGAAAAATTGAATTTTTTTGAAAATTTTTTTTTGACGAAAATCGCTTTAATGGTCATAAAATTGGTGTTCCTCTACTCGGATCGGGCTGTCAATTTTTTTCTACACTTTTAGGTGTATTTTGTGCAAGAAATTGCAATAAAATAGTCTGCCTAAGAAAAATTGAATTTTTTTGAAAATTTTTTTTTGACGAAAATCGCTTTAATGGTCATAAAATTGGTGTTCCTCTACTCGGATCGGGCTGTCAATTTTTTTCTACACTTTTAGGTGTATTTTGTGCAAGAAATTGCAATAAAATAGTCTGCCTAAGAAAAATTGAATTTTTTTGAAAATTTTTTTTTGACGAAAATCGCTTTAATGGTCATAAAATTGGTGTTCCTCTACTCGGATCGGGCTGTCAATTTTTTTCTACACTTTTAGGTGTATTTTGTGCAAGAAATTGCAATAAAATAGTCTGCCTAAAAAAATTGAATTTTTTTGAAAATTTTTTTTTGACGAAAATCGCTTTAATGGTCATAAAATTGGTGTTCCTCTACTCGGATCGGGCTGTCAATTTTTTTCTACACTTTTAGGTGTATTTTGTGCAAGAAATTGCAATAAAATAGTCTGCCTAAGAAAAATTGAATTTTTTTGAAAATTTTTTTTTGACGAAAATCGCTTTAATGGTCATAAAATTGGTGTTCCTCTACTCGGATCGGGCTGTCAATTTTTTTCTACACTTTTAGGTGTATTTTGTGCAAGAAATTGCAATAAAATAGTCTGCCTAAGAAAAATTGAATTTTTTTGAAAATTTTTTTTTGACGAAAATCGCTTTAATGGTCATAAAATTGGTGTTCCTCTACTCGGATCGGGCTGTCAATTTTTTTCTACACTTTTAGGTGTATTTTGTGCAAGAAATTGCAATAAAATAGTCTGCCTAAGAAAAATTGAATTTTTTTGAAAATTTTTTTTTGACGAAAATCGCTTTAATGGTCATAAAATTGGTGTTCCTCTACTCGGATCGGGCTGTCAATTTTTTTCTACACTTTTAGGTGTATTTTGTGCAAGAAATTGCAATAAAATAGTCTGCCTAAGAAAAATTGAATTTTTTTGAAAATTTTTTTTTGACGAAAATCGCTTTAATGGTCATAAAATTGGTGTTCCTCTACTCGGATCGGGCTGTCAATTTTTTTCTACACTTTTAGGTGTATTTTGTGCAAGAAATTGCAATAAAATAGTCTGCCTAAGAAAAATTGAATTTTTTTGAAAATTTTTTTTTGACGAAAATCGCTTTAATGGTCATAAAATTGGTGTTCCTCTACTCGGATCGGGCTGTCAATTTTTTTCTACACTTTTAGGTGTATTTTGTGCAAGAAATTGCAATAAAATAGTCTGCCTAAGAAAAATTGAATTTTTTTGAAAATTTTTTTTTGACGAAAATCGCTTTAATGGTCATAAAATTGGTGTTCCTCTACTCGGATCGGGCTGTCAATTTTTTTCTACACTTTTAGGTGTATTTTGTGCAAGAAATTGCAATAAAATAGTCTGCCTAAGAAAAATTGAATTTTTTTGAAAATTTTTTTTTGACGAAAATCGCTTTAATGGTCATAAAATTGGTGTTCCTCTACTCGGATCGGGCTGTCAATTTTTTTCTACACTTTTAGGTGTATTTTGTGCAAGAAATTGCAATAAAATAGTCTGCCTAAGAAAAATTGAATTTTTTTGAAAATTTTTTTTTGACGAAAATCGCTTTAATGGTCATAAAATTGGTGTTCCTCTACTCGGATCGGGCTGTCAATTTTTTTCTACACTTTTAGGTGTATTTTGTGCAAGAAATTGCAATAAAATAGTCTGCCTAAGAAAAATTGAATTTTTTTGAAAATTTTTTTTTGACGAAAATCGCTTTAATGGTCATAAAATTGGTGTTCCTCTACTCGGATCGGGCTGTCAATTTTTTTCTACACTTTTAGGTGTATTTTGTGCAAGAAATTGCAATAAAATAGTCTGCCTAAGAAAAATTGAATTTTTTTGAAAATTTTTTTTTGACGAAAATCGCTTTAATGGTCATAAAAATGGTGTTCCTCTACTCGGATCGGGCTGTCAATTTTTTTCTACACTTTTAGGTGTATTTTGTGCAAGAAATTGCAATAAAATAGTCTGCCTAAGAAAAATTGAATTTTTTTGAAAATTTTTTTTTGACGAAAATCGCTTTAATGGTCATAAAAATGGTGTTCCTCTACTCGGATCGGGCTGTCAATTTTTTTCTACACTTTTAGGTGTATTTTGTGCAAGAAATTGCAATAAAATAGTCTGCCTAAGAAAAATTGAATTTTTTTGAAAATTTTGTTTTGACGAAAATCGCTATAATGGTCATAAAAATGGTGTTCCTCTACTCGGATCGTGCTGTCAATTTTTTTCTACACTTTTAGGTGTATTTTGTGCAAGAAATTGCAATAAAATAGTCTGCCTAAGAAAAATTGAATTTTTTTGATAAATTTTTTTTGACGAAAATCGCTTTAATGGTCATAAAAATGGTGTTCCTCTACTCGGATCGGGCTGTCAATTTTTTTCTACACTTTTAGGTGTATTTTGTGCAAGAAATTGCAATAAAAAAGTCTGCCTAAGAAAAATTGACTTTTTTTGAAAATTTTTTTTTGATGTAAATCGATTTAATGGTCATAAAAATGGTGTTCCTCTACTCGGATCGGGCTGTCAATTTTTTTCTACACTTTTAGGTGTATTTTGTGCAAGAAATTGCAATAAAATAGTCTGCCTAAGAAAAATTGAATTTTTTTGAAAAATTTTTTTTGACGAAAATCGCTATAATGGTCATAAAAATGGTATTCCTCTACTCGGATCGGGCTGTCAATTTTTTTCTACACTTTTAGGTGTATTTTGTGCAAGAAATTGCAATAAAGTAGTCTGCCTAAGAAAAATTGAATATTTTTGAAAATTTTTTTTTGACGAAAATCGCTTTAATGGTCATAAAAATGGTGTTCCTCTACTCGGATCGGGCTGTCAATTTTTTTCTACACTTTTAGGTGTATTTTGTGCAAGAAATTGCAATAAAATAGTCTGCCTAAGAAAAATTGAATTTTTTTGATAAATTTTTTTTGACGAAAATCGCTTTAATGGTCATAAAAATGGTGTTCCTCTACTCGGATCGGGCTGTCAATTTTTTTCTACACTTTTAGGTGTATTTTGTGCAAGAAATTGCAATAAAAAAGTCTGCCTAAGAAAAATTGACTTTTTTTGAAAATTTTTTTTTGATGTAAATCGATTTAATGGTCATAAAAATGGTGTTCCTCTACTCGGATCGGGCTGTCAATTTTTTTCTACACTTTTAGGTGTATTTTGTGCAAGAAATTGCAATAAAATAGTCTGCCTAAGAAAAATTGAATTTTTTTGAAAAATTTTTTTTGACGAAAATCGCTATAATGGTCATAAAAATGGTATTCCTCTACTCGGATCGGGCTGTCAATTTTTTTCTACACTTTTAGGTGTATTTTGTGCAAGAAATTGCAATAAAGTAGTCTGCCTAAGAAAAATTGAATATTTTTGAAAATTTTTTTTTGACGAAAATCGCTTTAATGGTCATAAAAATGGTGTTCCTCTACTCGGATCGGGCTGTCAATTTTTTTCTACACTTTTGGGTGTATTTTGTACACGAAATTGCAATAAAATAGTCTGCCTAAGAAAAATTGAAATTTTTTGAAAATTTTTTTTTGACGAAAATCGCTTAAATGGTCATAAAATTGGTGTTCCTCTACTCGGATCGGGCTGTCAATTTTTTTCTACACTTTTAGGTGTATTTTGTGCAAGAAATTGCAATAAAATAGTCTGCCTAAGAGAAATTGAATTTTTTTTGAAAGTTTTTAGTGTTCCGTTCATGCAGTGATCAGAAATTGGAATCCTTATGGTTTCACTGTTGTCCGCCAAAAATTCCTGCCCCGCCCCCCCTCTCTAAAATCTAGCCATTTTAACCGATTGGGCTCAAACTTGGTATATATACATATGTATTTTTTGCGAGTAGATTGAAGAAAATTATAGAGAACCCATTTGGAATTGAATTGATTGTTATATTTCAAAAACTCGAAATTTTGGATAAAACGTATGCTTCCCCGCTTCAACTTTTACAATTTTAGAGCTAAGAAGCTGAAATTTGGTACACATATTTAATTTTATGTTTAGATTTTACGAAAGATATAGTTAACGCTTTTGAAATATTATATTTAAATATTTAAATTTAAATAATCGTGAGCGGAACCCTAGGTAAGCGAGTGTAATTCGAACTTGACCAATTTTTCTGTATTTTTATTAGAAAAATCTTACCGTGGACTCCCTTCGCCCATGCCCGATCTCCATCTCGGAGCGGCACTCGAACGGTGTTTTCCAATAGTGGCACTCAAAATAAACACTCACTCCCGGTTTTAAAATATTTCGAGCACTTCCGAACCACGTATTAACTTTTTTTACTTTTACATGCGATCGCGGTTTTAAGTAATGCGAACACTCCCGAAATCTAAAAATATTAATTTGTAAAAATTAAAATGATTTTACAAACACGTGGTTTTTGGACGGAACGCGACACACGGAAGTATATTTCAATATGGCACCCGATAATACTGAACGACTCTAATGAAATGATCCCACTCTTTTTCTCTCTTATTTTTATATGTAATTTTAATATAAATAATTATAATATTTATTTTATTTATAAAAATATAAAAAATTCACAACAAAAAAATATTTTTTTGTTTTTGATTGAAATGTTAAATCAGTAAAGACAAAATAAATGAGAAAGAAAGAGAGGAGATTGGCAAATGCAAACCGAGCTATTATTTGCGAATTTTAATTATCTCCGATTTTATGACTTTACCGTACCACGAACCGAACGTCAACACACTGCCTCGAGATGTAAACAGAAGTTCCGTAGAGTCCATTGTTTTTGTTGCATTACCTGAAACATAAAAACAAAATAATATTAATTATTTTAATTAATTTTTTCATTTCTTTTCACTTATAGTAAACTAGTATGTAAAAAAATTATAACGTAAAATTTTCTGCATAGAAAAGTTATAAAAAAACAATACAGAAAAGTATACATTTTTGCATAGTGTGCAGTAAAGTTATTGAAATAGTGCAAAAATTTGATCTTTTCTGCATAGCTTGCAGCAAAGTAACAATATACAGTGCAGAAAAGTATACTTTAATACACTCTATGCAGGAAAGTCATTAAAACAGTACTAAAACGTAAATTTATCTGCATATAGCGTGCAGCAACATTATAAAATCCAGTGCAGACAGTGTAGAAAATTATACTTTTCTACATTGAATACAGAAAAGTTACCAAATAGTGCTGAAAAGTATACTTTTCCACACTGTATACAGGAAAGCTTCAAAATAGTGCAAAATAGTATATACTTTTTCACATTGTATATATAGAAAAGTTACAAAAAAATGCAAAAAAAACATACATTTCTACATAGAATACAGCAAAGTTATAAAAAAACAGTGCAGAAAATTGGACTTTTTAGCACAGTGTGCTTTAAGTAGCATGCTTAAGTAAATATTTGAAAGTTATAAGAATAGTTTTTTTAGTGTAAGGGAATTTACTATGCAGTTTGAAAGCTGTTGCTTATAGAGAAAGGAAACTTTCTGCAGCTGGCAACGTTTCAGAAGTGCGCGGCGTTACATTGTAACATCGCGTCGTTAACGATATCTTGCGCCTTCGCCATGAGGTCTGGACGTTGAAGGGAAACAATGCCTTAGGGGGTGGCTGCTGTTGATGGACGCTTCCGATAACCGCCCCCCTCTACTCCCGATTTCTCTCTGGCCATTATACTATTTAATTAATTAAGTTCGTAAGACCCGAGCCAGCAAGCACAGTGATTAATAACATTGTATATGGTCCTAGCGTATACATACACTTGCTCCAACTCAGTTTGTTCGTATAGATAAACTATCCGTACATATGTACACAGGCTGGTGCTTTTTACTCTCTCTATATATACTATAACAACTACTCGACCCAAAAGCAAAACAAACATTCTAAATTAAATAACTACGATATGTTACGACAAATTTCACGTTTATTAATATTAATTGAAAAATGCGTTATTACTATTTTCTAAAAATTCATAAACTACGTATAAGTATAGAAATATAATGTCGAAGAATTTGTTTAGACAAAAAAATTTTTGTCCTTATCGACTGAATTTTGTGATTTACTCTTCCAAATCGCATTAGAGTACGTGTGCAGTATTCACAAACACACATACACTATACAATGAAGGGCCTCGTATTTCATTTTCACGGGATCGGGCCTTATCCTGATCTTGCAATTTCATACACGCCCACATTCTCACGAGATATTCGTCCAAGTATATGGTGGGAAACGGGTGAGAAAGGATGAACATGTTTCTCTTAATATTCGATATCCTGTTCTTCATTTTTTTGCGGTTTTAATATTTTAAATATTTTTGTCTATTAAAAATTTATCTTTATAAATTATTCATTTTTATTGATTCGTCTTTTTAGCTAATAGAATCCAAAAAAAAAAAAATATATATTTTCTATATCAAATGTAGAAAAATGACAAGTTTATATTTTTGGACACAAGGGAAGATTAACCTGGACCTATCCCATATAAGTATATAGGCTTTCCTGAACCAATGAACTCATATGTCAAAGAAAAATACCAAACATACCAAAAGGTCTTCCGCCCTCGAAAAAGTTTTTCCTTTCTTAGTTAGCCCTCGAGTTGGGGTCGTTGACATTCAAGATATATATAAGGGATTTTATCAAATTCTGATAAAAGGATTTTGAAATTAATTCTTATGCATACAAAAATTATAAAAAATAATTTCAGAGAAGATAAAATAATGATTTTTGGAAACTAAATTAAAATTTTAACTTAGTGATGATCGCACCTGCGAATGTAGCTCGATCATTTAGAGAGTCATTGTTGTGGTGTACAGCACACACGAAAATCCTCAACAACAGAATGGATCCATTATGGCGACTGGTAAAAATCGCCGATCACGCACGGCAAAAGGTGCAAAGGGATAAGAAGTTATATATATAGGGAAGCCAAGGGATGAAGAACAAGCGCAGAGATGCAGAGAGAAGAAGGAAGAGAAAAAAAAGCGTCATTGCGATAAATCATCTTCGTACGACAGGCATTCAAAAGTGTTCCTCTCTTGCTCTCCTTCATTTCTAACTCTCTGCACAAACACATTTATAGTCTCTCTTATATTTCGTTCTCGTAATAATCTGCGACTGAGAAGCATTTTGAAATTTTCTCACACTCAACGAAACCAATCATGCACCATGGCTTCAAAAAAAATAAAATAAAACCAATTGCAAATCCATCAGTGCGCCAAGATGATCGATGACTCTCAAAAAAAATTCTACTATATTGTCCCAAATCAATATTATATAGATCGAAATATGGCTAGTACTTTTTTTTATACTCATGAATCGCAAATCAATCTACATTGTTTCTGTTTCCGAATCTTTAAGAAAAATATCTATTGATAAAAATGGTTTGGTATTTGTTTTGATATAATTATTAATTGGAGTAATATTTGTTATTACTTTCCGATAATATTTTACAATTTTATTAGTTTTAGTTTGTACTTCTGTTTTTTTAATTTATGAAATTTACCGATTGTTATTATTTATGACTAATAGTATTTTTTTTTTTGGTAAAATTGAAATGCAATTCCTTTACGTAATCTATTTACATAATCCTGTATTTAGACTATAATAACACTATTCTATTTTGGATACAAAGATCAATATGGAAAATCCATTTCTAAATGCTAATCATTTTCATACCATATATCTAATTATTGTTTATTTAGTCTAAAGCCGAAGACAATAAAGACTTTACGACAGTATGTTAAGAAAATTATTTCTAAAAATCTATTGTTTACGCATAAAAGATAAATACTTCATAAATATACTTTATAATTTATTTAAAGAGAAAATTTAAATAGATTTTACTAATTGCTTCAAGGGAAAAATGCTTTTTTTTCTAAACTACAAAATTGTTAGAAAAATTTTGTGGTACATTAACCACACACTAGGGTCAAAGTATCAAAAAAAAAAGCAAAAATTATTTTTTTTTTAATATTATTGAAGACAAAGAAACATTCGAATTTTGACGATGCGATTGTATAACTAATGTGAAAGCTATAGGCGGCAGAATGCTAAGAATTCTTTATAGGAATGACGAGAAATTTCGGTGTATTTATATTTATACCAATAGTTGTGTATCGATGATATTTCTTTCGTTTCCAAAGATAACAATCTTTTGCCGCGGCATCGCAGTCAAGGTATACCGAAAATTATAGGTTTTCGCGGTTTGAATTATTTCTTTCACAACGTCACTAAAGGATTCGAAAGAGGAATGGAGAAAGAGAAGTCGTTTTGTTCTTTTGAAAGGAGAAAAATAGAAAACAGAGAAAAAAAATAGCAATTATAATATATGAAATGATATAGAAGAAAGTATCCTAATAATTCTAAAATAATAATCAAGAATTTTTGCAGAAAAAAATGTAAAAATTTTTGATAAAAATGTTTAGAAAAAAAAAAATAAGTTTGAATAATTATGAAAACAAGTTTGTAAAATAATTTTCAATATCATCTTTGATAAATGTATATAGAAATGATCTCGATTAAAAATTTTATAGGATAAGACAGACAGACAAAAAGAGTAAGAGAGAAGATGAAGAGAGAAAGAAAGGAACTTTAATTGTGCCGAACAGCACCAAACAAAAGAAGAGCCGCTGTTCAAGGTCGAGGCAAATCGCCTTCTCGCGAATGACGTCAGGATGCAGTTAGACTAGTTTAGTTCGTGGTCCAGTCTCGCCTGCCCACGAACAGACAAAGGAACCTGTGCTGTGTTTCAAAAACACTGCACTTTTAAAAATCTCAATTATTATCATATTTTCTTAAATGTACTATCGATGATAATAATAATATTATTATTATTATTATCATTATTATTATTAGATATGTTCATCAGTTTCTAATTGTAAAAATTATTAGGAAAAAAAAATCTCTGTACAGTGGAAAAAAAAAACAAAATCTTAAAAAGTCGATGACCTGGAAGCAATTTCACTATGGTTGGTATAGCAATCATACGGTGGTCCAATTACCATAAGAAGGGCTCTAATTTCGCACAATGCCCCCTTTTTTGGAGCTTCCGACCAACTTCGCACATGTGGGTTCGACTTCATAGCTTTAGGGCATTTATTTTTTTCCAATACATTTTTTTTTTCTTTAGAAAATTATTAGCATAAACTAAACAATTGGTACTAAAACAATCATTAAGGTGCAATATACCAATATTTGTGAAGATGTACTTTAATTAGTAGGCGTTTTGTCACACTAATGACATGGGATTTCCCCATAAATATCGATTTAATAACAATTAACATATTCATTGTTGTAAAAATAAGAAGAAATAATGATGTTTTAAGCTACAGAGTTTTATATAAATTTTATAACACAAGAAAAAGAGAGAAAGAAAGGGTAAAAAAAAAAAAAAAAGAAAAGGAGGCACAAAAGCACGTCGCCAAGTCAAGAGCAATGCTTTTCTGTGTCCCGAATTCAAAGTGGAAAGGGGAGTGCCTGGATTTCCTTAATAAAATGGGGCGCAAACGCCACGCAAGCGAATATCTCGCTGATAGCAGCACGGTCAGCTCCAACGTCCACCACGAAAATGCTAGAGGGGTTGCTAGGGAAAATCTAGAGAAGGTGGCACAAGAGGGTGAGGTGGTTGCTTAGGCTGATTCAATTTGACACGAACGCCCAGCCACCCTTCGTCGGATTTCCGTTGTGGCCTTCCTCTACTCCCGGCAAATAGAAAAGAGAGAAAGAGCAGAGAATAGAAAACATTTTGATTAGCATAAACAGAACACTCGAGTGCAAACTATTTTTCAATGTCTTTGAGAAAATTTATTTCAAACTGAATACGACAGAAAAAAAATACATTTGCATTCTAATAATTAAAATCGATTGTTAAAATTTTCAAAATTTCTTTATCGGAATTATTTTTTTCATGAATTCAATATTTAAAGTTCAGCGACATAAAGTAAAGTGCATGGACCTGTGCAAATTTCTTTTTACACGTTCTCTCTGTAAACCACGTGCCAGAGATTCGCCCACACACGTGGTGCGTTTTTTCATCAGGTGGCTATAGTGCAATATGATAAACATATATATTCATGGATGAAGAATAAGGGAAAGGGAGTTTGACGCATTTCGTATAAAGTGTATTGTGGGGACTGGCTTTACTTAAAAATACCTCCAAAAAAAAATTGCAAGGTTACCCACATTTTTTTTCATCATACAAATCTTTTAGATATGTAAGCGAAGTACTGACAAGTGACTTCTTTTTATTAATTTCAAAAAAAAAATAAGATTAGAAATATTTCCTCAACACTTAAAGGGTACAGAATACTAAAAATGCCGAATTTTTATTTGTTCGAAAATGCAAATGCAAATGCGATTTTTAAGCCAATTAAAAGAAATTGCCCTATCAGGGCCCTAGTAGGGAATGAAACGCCACACCTGATCAGGGCCAAATTTCTCTCTAAATTTGAATCAGCGGAATCTCGCTGATTCTCAGCTATAAGTATACCACTGATTCCAATCAGCTTATATGCTGTGGAATTTCACTGATTTTTCAGCGTATATCCGCTGATTCAAATTTAGAGAGTAGGGCGACCAGAAAATGTGGATTTCCTAATCAGGGCCACATCAGGCGCGACGTTTCATTCCCTAATAGGGCAGCCTGATTTGGCGCCGATCTGGGCCTTGGCAAAATTTCTTCACGAGATTTTTTTCTGTCGATTGTTTGTTGAATAATTTACGCAATTTTGGACAAATAAAATTGGCAACAAATTTGAACTTGTGGCAAAGCGTTGGCAAAGAAATAGAAAAAACATTACAAAGGGCAACAAAAAAAAAAAAAAACAGCAGTGGAATGTTCGAAAGTTATGTTTAAAAAAAAAAAAAAATTGAAAAGTATTGCGCTATCTGAAATATTTGAAACAGCCAAAAGTATAATCTTCCAAAATAATCGTTCAATTTGCAAACAAGTTTATTAACATACTCGATAGTAATACTTTGTATTTACGTTTTACTTATTTGACAATATTAATTGAGGTCAATAAAACTCAACTGACAACACGTGAATTGAATTGAAAAATACAGAAAATTATATTGAATAGAAATTCTGTTCTCTGATAATAAAAATAAAAAATTTTATTCTCAATTTTTCTTTGTAATAATAATTATTTAGCAAAATAAAATTTTATTCCTATAGCTTTAGTTCTTTTTTAAAGAGAAAAAAAAAATAATAGCTTTTAGTAAACATTTTTCTCGCTAACACAAAGTTAAAAGTATCGTGTATTTCGGTACTGTGCTCAAGGATTCTGGTGGCATGCGCACATTTCTCTAGCCTTTCATCTCTCTTTCTCTCTCGCTCTTTTCCTCTCGGGGTAAGAAGGGAGGGTGAAAGTGGGGGTGGAAAGACTCCATGAGGAGTAAGGAGGAGAGAGTAAGAAAGCAGATGAAGAGAGACAGAATGAACAAGAGGGAGAGAAGTCCAGCGGGTCCTGCAGGATTCTCCTCTCGTCCTTCGAGACTAGTGTCGAGGGACGCACGTTCTGGTGCCAGTAAGCACGTCGGGGCCAAGGGTGAGAGGGAAAGAGAGACAGAGAGAGAGATAAAGAGAGAAAGAAAATGAACTGAGAGAGGGCCATGAGGAAAAGGAGAGATGAACGTCTCAAATTTGGTTGGCTGTCTCCAGTCGGTATGGCTATAGAGGGGTAAGGGGAATGGAGGACCAATATTGGTGGTGGGGATAGGAGTTAACGAAGACTGTCGTGCGGGTTGAAGGGGGAAGGAGCCAGAGCAAGAGGGTGAGAGAGTAAGAGAGAGAGAGACGTGAAGGGGGTTGGGCAAAAGCGCCTTGGTGCGATCCCGTAGACTCGAAACTCGAAATTCCAACGGACCGCAGAGCAGAGCCGTCGGTCGTGCGACGTGGATCTAAAATTAATTATTGTATATTGTAAAAACGAAACGAGTCAATAATAATCCTGACAGGACTGAAAATAAATAACAAACAGGACAATTGCTCGTTAATTCGGGATAATATTTACAAGAGTTAATTATACAGTTTTTCATTTTTTTTTCAAAAAAAAAAAAAGTGTTTTCACAATCACGTAAATGAGAGGACGCAAACGCCGGCGATGGTTCATCTGACAAATATTTGGAGAAAATGTGGTTTATTAGTGTCAAAGTGAATAGTGAAAAACATCATTGAGCTCTAAAAACAATTTTTTGAGATTAATTAAAATTTTTCAAATATAAAAAATGACAAATTTTGACTAATCACTGAAATGTAAATCACAAATTTTGAAATTTGTGTTTTCTTTTTCGTTTTCTTGACTTTCTCCAAAAATTTTAATTTTTAAATATTGTGTTTAGTGAATGAGCGTCTTGTTTTTGAGTTGATTGTGTTTGAATTCGCGCGCGTGATTCGAACAGAAAAGATGTTGCCGGTCGCGGGAACTTTATTGTTCCAATGTGATGCTGGAATATTTGTTATGACGCGTTCGATTTGGACATTCATTACTGTGTCACGTGTGATCATATGATAAATGTAGAACATATTTTTATTGTTTTCCTTTTATTTTCTTTACGTTCATTTTTGACTCTCTTTGGCAAATCACAATTATTGGATTTGATTTGAAAAATAAAGCTGGCAACGTGATAAATGTGAATATTGAAATTGGCGCGTCACGTGAGTGCGCATTTGTGCTCCAAAAAAAAAACAAAAAGACTGTGAATTAAGTCGTGAATAATAATAATAATCACTGACGGACAATTAGTGCGTGGTTTCGCGTGGAGACAATATGAGTGAGATGACGAGTGTAGAGCAGCAGCATCAACAGCAACAGTTTGTTGGTGGTAGCTCAAATTCGGAGCATCACTGTAAGGATCATTGTGTGTCATTTGAAAGTGAAAAGAGCCTCGAGGTGCATCTTCGTTATCATCAAGAGAATTTACTTAGTCAATGGGCCAGTCAGGCGCAGCAGGAGGAAAGCAACAATAACAACAGTAAAGCTGGAAATCATAACAGTGGCAATCATATGGTTGTGAAGAGAGAGAGTGTCACAGCACCGGCTGATTCAAGTGAGTCTTCATCAAGGCCACCCTCGGAAGGTCCAGCTTCTGCGTCCCAACATCAGTCTGCTCCATCGTCGCAGGCTTTCACAAATTTTCCAACTCCAATGTATAACGAAAACGCTTATTTTGTGCAGAATGATCAATCATACATTCTGCCCCATCATTACTCTCCACCCAGAGGAGAGGAAAGTCAAAACGGAGGTGGAAGTTACGCGAGGTATCATCCCTATCAGCATCAGCAACGTTTCTCGCAGGCAGATCGTGCAAATTCAGTTAGCTCTACGAGTCCACGAAGTCCTTTGCAGTGTGACAAGTGTGGTGCTGTTTATGAAGATCCTAATCAATTAGCAGAACATGTCAGATCTAATCATCCAGCATCACCAAATTCCTATCCTAGTCAATCTCAATATCAGCAAATGGGTAGTAGTCCACAACATCAGATGCAAAGGCATCAGCAAGCTCAACAACCACAAATGCATAATTCACCATCACATGCAAATCAACAACAACAAACACCTGGGTTTGATTTTACTGGAGGATCGATTATTAAGACGGAAGTCAAGCAGGAGGCTGAGGAGCAAGCCGAGATTTTAGATCTTGATTCCCATAAGGTTCAAACTCACAGGTACGAGGAGGACATGTTGAGGGTTCAACAACAACAACAACATCAGCAGCAGCAACAACAACAACAACAACAACAGGAAATACAGATACAAATGCAGCATCATGTCATGCAACATCAACAGAGAACTGGTCCTCATTCTGTAAGTTCCATGTTGAATTGGCCATCACCACAGATTCATGATTATCATCCAATGGCACCTATGGAGAATACCTCTCCCATGCCTGATCAGAATCAATTCATGCGTGGTCAACACATGCCAGTGGAACCTCCAAGGCATGGTGGTTCACCAATCATCACCAGTACACAACCATTAACAGGCCATCAGATTCCACCAGCAATGTTACCACAGGCTCCAAAAGCAGTTATAGGTAATCAATCCTGGAAAAGCAATGAAGCTCGCCGGCCAAAGACCTATAATTGCACGGCGTGCAACAAGTGGTTCACCAGCTCGGGTCATCTCAAGAGACATTACAATACCACATTACACAAAAATGCTGTTAAAGTGAGCAACCAACCGGATCCCGCCAACATGCCAATCAGTGTACATCATCATCCAGGTCGTGATCAAAATATCACAAGTAGAGGAGGACCATCAAGATCTCCAGAGTTATCATCCTCGGGGAGTCCCCCAAACTTGATGGCAGGTCCCTCGGGAGAGGCAACGAGGGGCCTGCTGCTCACGCCCATCACCGCCACCACCACCAACAAGATCCATTACACCACCAACAGCAATTCCAGCAACAGCAACGAGTCTTCAGCAATCCAAGGATCTTTGGTCCACCAGCAGATGCCTTCAACGGTTCGCATGTCCAACCTTGTCCCACTCAATTGTCCGCCCCAGTCACCAATGGGCCACCCCCACCATCAAATGGCTTCGCCCTCACAACAACTGGGCCACCACAACATTCCAATGGATTCACCATCACAAATGGCGGTCCATCACCCCATGAATTCACCCATGTCACCCATGCAACATCCACCGGCCCACATGAATTCACCTTCTCCAATGGGCCAGCAACATCACATGAATTCACCATCCCCCATGATGGGAGGCGTCCCATCGATGGTTTCACCGCCACCGCCGCCAATGGGGGGTACTTCGATGCCTCATCAGCCGTACCCAAACGCTTTGCCCCCCCACGTTACAACTACTACCAGCATCCCGGGTCTAATGGAGTCTATCACCAGTCTAACTACTACTGGTAACGATCTACCATCATCCATGCAATTCACCCAGGAAATGTTACCCGGCTTTGGGACCTTCAGCAATCATCAGAGGCCCCTGCCCAGCTTCACCAACTTTGGCATCAATTCCGGGTACAATTTAGTTGGCCACAGTCATCCACAGGCCGTTAGCGTGGGGGGGCTAAGTCCAGAGGAGAATCTTTCTCCTCAAGACAAAACCTTCGATTCGCCCATACCGACCTATGACACATACAGGACAATGTCGCCACCAAAATATGATACATTGGCAAATATGGATCTCATTCAAACCAGCAATGACGGCAGTCTCTATATCAAATACGCCGACTATCAACAACCAAACGAGACACAACAACTCTATCAACAAATTCCAAGATCTCGTTTACCAATTGAGACAAATAATAATCTACCTCAAGGTCCACCAAAGGAGGAGCTCAATCCCAATATTGGCAAGGTGAAAGGCAACAAATTCAAGGAAATTGTTACCAAAGAGCATCAAGTAACAAGTACCAACACCGGTTCACATTATATTTCACAGGATGGTTTTCACAAATGCATCGAGTGCGACAAAGTATTCAACAAAGCATGCTATCTCACTCAGCATAACAAGAGTTTTCATTCTGGTGATAAACCATTTAAATGTAATCAATGCGGCAAACGATTTCCCCATGAAGTTATGCATGCCGAGCACCTTCAAAAACACGCCGGTGAAAAGCCCTATAAATGTGAGATTTGTCCTAAACAATTCAACCACAAGACCGACCTCAGACGGCACATGTGCCTCCACACTGGCGAAAAGCCATACGCCTGTGATACTTGCGGAAAGGGTTTCATACGAAAGGACCACATGATGAAGCATCTCGAAACGCACAGAAAAAAATCTAACGCTCATCACAATGTTCATCTAAGAGCATAAAATCTAATCAAGGTCGAAGTTCATCATCATCTCAAAAAGGTCATCTTTGTAGCCTTCATCCCGCAATTCTTTCTATTTATTAATTTTCCATTCCTATTCCTTTTGATCCTCATCAAATCAATATTTTGTCTTTTCTTCGTCCACAGATTTTGCTTATATTGGCTGTCTTGCTCAACACATATTTAGATGACTGCCAACTTTTGTTCAAGGTCATCCAAGAGAATTGTAAGTTCATCACCATTATCTGTTTTTTTTTTTTCCAGCATCCACAAAAATAATTTAATTTCTTTGTTTTTTCACAATACATTAAGAGTATGCATCAAATGATATTCTCACTCGATATATTCTCTTAATAAAAACTAATGGAAAAATGCGGGTAAATTCTTTGATAAAAAGGATGCTGGATATTCTTCGCGATATTCCGAGTCGATTTAATGAAATTTTTTTTTTTTTTACAAATTGCATCTCGACTCTGTAGATTGCGACGAACGCTACAAAATTGAAAAAAGATATCCAAAGTCTTTGATTGTAAATCAAAAAAAAGGATATTAAAATGACGCTAATGTCGCGATATCAAAAAAAAAGAAAATAAAAAAAAAACTTTGAAGCTTATGAATTGTACAAAATATATTAAATGTATAGGCATATATCATTGTAATTATTGATTTATCATCAAACTAGACAACGGTTTCGATCCCTAATTATGCTATTCATATTTTATAGAATTTTCTCTAAAAAAAAAAAGAGAAAAACTTAGAGAAATGATGGACAGTAATGTATCACTCAATGTGAAAACGAGCTCTCACGATGGTATATATATATAATAAATTATAAAATTATAAAGTCTTCAAAGAAGTAAAATTAATTCAATGATCAATTTTAATTTTTTGAATCAAATCTAAATTCTATTGCCATTGTGCAAAATTGTTAAAATTTATTTAATGACAATTTTTTTTTGAAAAAAAAGAAGCTTTTTTATTGAGAGTAGTTTTTTGAAAAAAAAAAATTCTTTTTGTATACTACTTGAATAGTTATTGTAAACTGTGAGTCAGTATTAGATTTTTTGTTGTAGTAATAAGTATATAAAAAAAACGCAATATTTATTTGTCTCTTTTATTTACTATAATTATAGTAAATAAATTTTAAAATCGTTTTGTGATGAAAGAAAAAAAAAATTGTAAATTATTTGGAAATTATTTTTTTTTTTTTTTGTTAGTGTGTGAACATTCCGTGAATGGCATTCCAGCGACAAAATGTCGTGAATCGTTCGGCACGTTTTCACAGTGACGATTCTTGTTTTTTTAATCGTAAGGATATATATATAAAAGAGAGAGAGAGAGAGAAAAAAAAGAGAGTAAGTTATAAATTTTGTGCGTTTTTCGAAGGAAAATATGTCCATTTAAAATCGTTCTACCAAATAAATGAAATTTTCGTCCATATATACTCATTTTTATACCAAGAAATCATGTATAGATAAGAATATAAATATAAACAAATTACAGGTGATATTTCCTTCGAAGAACGTAAAGCCAATCTTACTCGCAATGTGAGTAAAAATAATATGTTGACCTCGCCATAACCAAATAGAATTGTTTCTGTTTATCGTTGTTTAATTGTCCGATTTAACTAGTTCGCACATGAATTGTTTTATATTTGCCAAAATGTGCATATCTAGATTAAACTGAGGTTAAATTGTGCCTCGTCCGTTGTTATTTGAACGTCGTTGTTTCTGGATTCTTTGCGCCAGATTTGTTGCCTGATTCGTTTGTTCAGTGCGCGTGTTTTTTTTTTTTTTTTTTTTTTTTTTTTGTCTCTGTGAGTAAAATACTTCTTGTCATTCCTCCACCCCCCCACGTTAATTTTGCAAAGATTTCATTTGGACGAGGTGTACCTTATATTGTATATATAAATATATGTGCGTGCAAGGATTTTTTTTTTTAGTTATTAATAAGAATTATAAAAAACTTGCCATTATAATACTACGTAAAAATCCCAGAACAGACTACCTCAAGAGTTCAGGAATTATCGACGAATGAAAGAAAGGAAGGAAAGAGTAAAGAAAAAAAAAGCCAATGCAATAATCTAAAATTAAAAAAACAAAAACTAGAAAAACGTTTTGTTGCGGGCGAGATAAATTTTCATTTTTCCAAAAAAAAAAAAAAAAAAAAAATTGCTTCTTGACCAAATTTTTGAAAATTTTTTTACATTTTCATTCCTTTTTCCTTCAATCAGAGTATTATGTATGTATGTATATGTTATTTTATTCGCCCGCTAATAAACGTAATAGGCGTAAATAGAACATTATAAAACTGTAATATAAAGAAAAGAAAAAAAAAGAAAAATAGATTGACGTATGTTAGAAACATATCAAACAGTATTACTGTATACTCAGTTTATAATTAAAAATTAAGATAACAATTAGGTACGAAATGATCAATGAAAAATACATTTCAATTTCATATCATTATTTGATAAATAAATTCATACTCGACTGTTACATTTTATAAGACAAAAGAAAAATAGATAAAAAATAATCGTGCCATTGCACCCAGCCAATTATGTTTGAAAGTAAAATAACTTAAATTTCAAAGAGCGTGTTGAGATGTTTTTTCTTTTTTTTTTTTTTTTTTTTTTTTTATACAAAATAACGAAAAATCCACTGCCGTCATATGTAATTTAATAAAAAAAAAAGAAACAAAAGCGATATCGTAATAATGTTCGACAGGTGAAGATATATTGTGAATTATGTATTTCAAGATGCCATACACAAGTACCTCAAGACAAAAAAAAAATAACACATGTACAAATGTTCATACGTTTTCAGAATATTAGCTAATTAATAAATAATTATAATAATCACAGATGAAAAGTCGCATTTTTCAATTATTATTTTCCTATCCTTCATATCTAAATGTCAATATTTTGATTATATTAATGATTAAAATTAATCAACTTCTAATTATTTACCGATAATAATAAATAGTTAAAAATATCAATTTTCCTTTATTATAAATTTAATATATTAATTATTTATATTACTATTATTAATAATATAATCTAATTTTTATAAAAGATTCAAAAATAGTGAATTTAAGTTTTTTTTTTAAAAAAGGATTATTTTTTTTTTTCGAAAAAGAAATTTCTTTAGCAAAATTGCACATTGGTTTAAATCTAGAGATGATTATATTCGCGCCCAGGTCCCCACGACCCCTGGGCCGCATCCTGTGATAAATAACCAGATTACGAGTCTACCAATGAACAAACTTCTCCATGGACCATATGTTCATCCAAGGTTGTGAGATCCGATTCAAAGGTTGAATCGATGAATTGTATTATTTATCTAACCGAACACCAGCCCAGGAACGGAAGTACCTTCTATTTCCTTAAATTAATCCATTTAGCGCAGGTATTGTCGGTTTCAAATTACTGATTAAATTTTACATTTTTTATAGAGTTTCATAATACATATTTTATTTAAACTTTTATTTGTTATAAAAAAATAAAAAAATGTTTCTCTATAATTAAACCTAATAATAAAAATAATTATAATATTAATAATAATAATAATAATAATAATAATAATAATAATAATAATGATAATAATAATAATAATAATCATAATAATATGAAAATAATAATAGTTTTGAAATAGAAGAATTTGGAGAGAAACTTTTTTTTTCATCCTTTTTTTTTTGAAAGGAAAAAGGAGTTGAAGAAAAAAAAAATTTGAAAATGATTATTCGAGATAGTCTTGATTTATTCTAAGATTTATGTGAAGGTGAAACAAAGTGATGCAGCTTTGAGAAAAAAAATAAGGGGGTTGATGCGTATCCAAAAAGTTTTCCCACACCACATAAGACAGCTGTTGTAATGAGTTGCATCCTCACGTCTCTTAAAATATTTACTAAGATGAATTCCACAACGTGACAGCGCAGGTTCTTATTTCCCTTTTATCATCATCAGGTTCACGAAAAAGCGAAATTCGAGAGAACAAATTTACGGCTCTATGAATTTAATTTGTGTGTGCGTTCACGTTTGTAAAACAATCTTGGAAAACTTTCTTTTTTCTTAACTTTTTCAAAAATCTATGAATTTATTCGATAAAAAAACATACACACCCACATTTGTTATTCTAATCAGATTAAAAATAAATAAATAAAATAAATTTTTTTTTTATAATTATTATATTATTTATTTAAATTTTTGGTTATTCATTAAATGGAACAATTTAAAAAGAACGATTATAGATACAGATCAATTATTGAAATATAATATAATGTAAATTGTAAAAAAAAAAAAAAGAATTCTATTGAATTTTAAGGGGAGTTAAATCTACTGCACATTTTTGATGAATCATTGCAGAGAGAGAAATAGAGAGAGAGACGAATCTTTTCTTCCGGAGAAGAATCGTTTGAATGTCAAGACATTGCATTCTTATATCAACAATAAAATTTCAACATCGTTCCCAACGTCATAATTCTTGTGGTTCTGACAGAAGTGAGGCAGGTCGGGTAACTCAACAAAGTTTACAAAAGAATTACTGTTCAATTTTTACATATTCATAATTAGATCTTTCTTTTTCAAAAAAATCTCTGAATATATCCTTTTGTTAAGAATTCAATTTTTCTAATAAAAAATTATTATATCATTATAATTATTATATTATTATATTATAATTATTATATTATTACTCTCTAAATCTGAATTAGTAAAAATGTTTACTAATTTGAATTAGTGACTCACTTTTTGCTTCTGAATTAGTAAAATTTTACTAATTTTTTACAATTTGTAAAATTTAACTAATTCTAAAGAAAAAATTGAGTCACTAATTTAAATTAGTAAACATTTTTACTAATTCAGATTTAGAGAGTATTATATTATAATTATTATATTATTATTATTATTATATTATTATTATATTATTATTATTATTATTATTATTATTATTATTATTATTATTATTATTATTATTATTATAATATTATTATTATAACATTTAATTGTTTAATGATTTTTTTAAAATTCTTATTATAAGATCAAAATATTGAATTCCAATTTTCCTTTCACCAGAACTTTATAATATTGTGAGTTATATATATATATATATATATATATATATAATAAGCGTAATTTCTCTGCGCCAATCTGAGTATATTCTAACGTTTAAAAATATTGAAGGAAGTAATTCATATATACGTAACATCTTGAGCAACATGAGTCGTAAATAATAAGTCGATTATCGTCCCCATTGTTGCCATATAGTATTTATGAATTGGTGAAAGCGTCAGAGAAAGTAATATAAAAGATAAGAAATAAAATCGCATTATTTCGTTAGTGGCGAAAAAAAAAAAAAAAAAAAAAAAAATTAGCTTCAAACCGAGAAAGCCATTTAAAATCTCGCCAGTCAGCGTTTGTCTAAAGTAGTTCGAGAATATTTCTCATATGTGTTATGTCATAAAAAACACGTGGTTTCATTAGAAATTCGCCGAGACCTTGAGTTTAGGCCTATGTGTGTGTGTGTGTGAAACAAAAATCTAACATGTTATATGTATATCCTATTAAAATTTTAAAACATAAGAAATTTTTTAAGTGTCCCAAAAAGTAATTTTACATTTATAAATGTGTAAAAAAAAAATTCCAGAAAAAGAATTATTTCCTGACACATTTCAAAATTGGTAAATCTTTTTTTTTTCTTCTAAAAGTTATTTGACATATTATGTTAATTGGAAAATTAAAACGAAAAATTCAGTCAAAATTTCTATATTTCTATACACAGAAATATTTTAAAAATATTATTTTTCTTGACATTGTCATTAATATTCAAAATAAAATAGAATTATTATTTTTAATAAAAAATATTTTTTTATTGAATTAAATATGTTTTTAATGGAGAGAGAGGATCGCTCTTTAACTTTTAAATGGTTTCTTGAAGAAATCATCAAGATCGAAATAATGAATTAACCTTGCGCTATGAGAGTCTTTATAAAATGATGCTTTACGTTCTCTTCGAGAAATAAGAGAGAGAGAGAGAGAGAAAATGCGTTGACATCGTTGAAATTCGTATAGAGCAGGAGATAAATCTCTAAAACGATGGGCCGGGCACGACGGGTACCTATTATTGGATATTCTCGCTATTCAGGTTTACGAAAGCATATCCTTATGGAAAGAGGAGGAGCACACACAACTGCAACTGCTGTCACTCTCTGGAGCGTGATCGTAGCAAGAAATAGATAGAGAGAGAGAGAGAGAGAGAGAGAGAGAGAGAGAGAGAGAGAGAGAGAGAGAGAGAGAGAGAGAGAGAAAGAGATTTCGATGATGAGAGAGGGAGAGGTAACTCGGAAGATTCGGCAAATGGAAAAAGAGGGGGAGGGGGGGGGAAACCAGGTGCATTTTGTGAGCCTGGGAAGCGCAAACTCTGTATATACACCTATATGTACTCTCTAAACTACACTACTACTTCTATGGCAGATGCTCTCTCTTCTCTCTTATATTTTCTCTTTCTCTCTCTCTTTTTCTCTCTTCCGTTCTTGACGTTAACGTGTACTAAACGATTGTTGTTTGTCCATCGTTTCCTATATATATATATATATTTTGTCGACTTGAATAGATTGTGTACAGGTTTAAATAATCATCGATCCAGATCGATTCTTTCTCAAATGAGTTTAAGAGAATTGAAAGAATATGCATTGAAAACTTTTTATAAAAGGAATACATTTATATATATATATATATATATGTATATATATATATATACAATTCTAAAACACCTGAGACTAAAATTTTAAATCGAAAATACAAAACAATATTTGTCTATACACAAGATACTATTTATTATTATACTAGAAAAAGATTTAGAATAGTTAAAATTAATAATGGAAATAACAAACTATTTTCACAAATAGGAAATTTTTTTTTTTTTTGCCTTTTTTTTCGAGAAAAAGAAGAAATATTTTCAAATTCTCCAGAGAATAAATCGATCATCTTTTTTCACAATGAAGAATGTGAGGCAAATATGAAGAGCATTAAGTCATCATGCCAAATGGCTTAAGGGATAAAATTCTATTTTTAAAAGAAGAAATTTAACACTTTTTTTTTTTAACTACTCCTTTTTTTGCAAATGTACTCTATAATAGATCTCATCAAAAAACCCTACTTTAGTTAATAACTGAAAAATCTGCAAACCACGTGTGGATAAATCGTAGCCGACATATTACAATATCCGCGCAAAGTTTCTTTTTTAATACCGTCATTCAACATATTATATTTTGATGATGAAAAAAAAAAAATTCAACCTCGACAATTTCCGGTAGAGAGTATGAAAATAAATTCTAAATGAAAAAAAAAAAAAATTATGTAATATTTCATAATAGATATTTTTTAAACATTTATAAATTTAAAAAAAAAAAAATTCCTGTAAAATCAAGAGATAATTCTTTTTGGATTTTAAAATGTAACCATCCCTTTTGGCTGGGGCATTAGTAAAAACGCAATATTGTCTGACTCAACAGGTTGCCGACACCCACCATCAACCGCCAACTCTATTCGTTGCTGTATTAAATAAACCTGACGATGGGGTGATTTCTCCCCCTTTTTGTTGGATAGGGATGAACATCTCCAACTCATCAAACGCCTAATCGATTTCTGTTTGTTATTTTTCAATCAATGCAAAAAAAAAAAAATAGCGTCGAACAAAACTGCCAACAATCAACAAATCTAGTGTCAAAACTATAAACAAATAGAATGCAAATAATAAATAAATGTTATATGAAAAAATATATTTAAAAATATATTTTTAAAAATTATTTTTCGTATAAACTTTTGTTCAATAAGTGAATGGAAAAATTGAGTTGAAAATGGATCATGATAACA